AGGGTTAAGTGCGGGATCGGATGGTGGCGATCCCGCCCGCAAGGGGTCTTGATAACGGCTGTGGGGTTTCGCCTCCCCAGATAAGAAGATCACCATATCTATCAACACATACCTCATTTCCCTGTTTCACTGTACGGCATGGATACTACCCTATGCCTCTTTGATTTCACTCCTCACCATTAATAAATATATCTTCTTCATCAGATCCTCGTGAACATCCTCCAAAGTCCGTTTTAGCTGGATAGACAACAGATCTCTGGCTTGGCGTTTGGATCAGCTATCCCCGCACCAGACCGTCCAAGTTTTGGTTCAAGCAATTCACAATGGCACCCGGTATCTTGACGTCGCCGGGGCCTGAAGTCGCTTCTCGAAAAACTGGCTCGCTGGCCCAGTTAACGGAGGAATGGGATGATACCATTCGCTTCTTCTTGAATGGCACGAAAGTGACCCTCGACTCTGTGGACCCGGAGCTCACACTTCTGGAATACTTGAGGGGAGTCGGTTTGACAGGAACAAAGCTAGGCTGTGCGGAGGGAGGTTGTGGTGCTTGCACGGTGGTAAGTGGTGTTCTTGAATTATTTGCAGACTATCGAGGATACTGATTTCAATAGGTTGTCTCGCACGTGAACCCTACGACCAAGAAGCTCTATCACGCGTCAGTAAATGCCTGTCTTGCACCAGTTATAAGTGTGGATGGAAAACATGTTATCACTGTCGAAGGCATCGGAGATGTGAAGAACCCCCACGCGGTCCAGCAACGAATTGCCATCGGTAACGGAAGCCAGTGTGGTTTCTGTACACCAGGTATAGTGATGGTATGATCCCTCTGTCTTATATCGAGTACCTGGCGTCTAACATCATGTGCTGTTAGAGTCTCTATGCCCTTATACGTAATAACCCTGAACCATCTGAACATGCTGTGGAAGAAGCTTTTGATGGAAATTTGTGTCGTTGCACCGGATATAGGCCTATATTGGACGCCGCCCAGAGCTTCAAAGCCAGTGGTGGCTGCGGGAAATCCAGTGCCAATGGTGGAACTGGCTGTTGCATGGAAAACAAGGCTGGCTCTGGAGGATGCTGCAAAGATTCCTCGGAGACGGAGACAGCCAATGGAGATTCTTTGAAGCTTACGGCACCTGGGTTCATAAGTCATAGGCCAGACACAGAACTGATATTCCCACCAACTCTTCACAAGCATGAGTTTCGGCCCTTAGTTTTTGGTAATAAGAGAAAGAGGTGGTACAGACCGGTTACTTTACAGCAGCTCTTGGAGATCAAGCATGTACACCCAGACGCTAAAGTTATTGGTGGCAGCACCGAGACTCAGATTGAAACAAAGTTCAAAGCGATGCGATATAGTGCTTCGGTCTACGTTGGCGATATTCCCGAACTTCGCCAGTTCTCGTTTCAAGACGACCACTTGGAGATTGGGGCTAATGTCTCTTTGACTGATTTGGAGTCAATATGTGATGAGGCCTTAGAGCGATATGGACCTGTGCGAGGCCAGCCGTTTACTGCTATCAAAAAGCAGCTTCGGTATTTTGCCGGGAGGCAAATTAGAAACGTGGCGTCCCCGGCCGGTAATTTGGCTACCGCCTCCCCTATCTCGGATTTGAATCCAGTCTTCGTTGCAACAAACACGGTACTTGTTGCCAAGTCACTAGAAGGGGATATCGAGATTCCAATGACCGAATTCTTCAAAGGTTACCGGACAACTGCACTTCCACCAGATGCTATAATCGAGAGTCTGCGCGTCCCTACTGCATCAGAGAGTAGGGAGTATATACGGGCTTACAAACAGTCCAAAAGAAAGGATGATGATATCGCTATCGTCAACGCCGCATTGCGGGTTTCGCTTTCGCCTTCCCATGATGTGACGAGCGTAAACCTCGTGTTTGGCGGTATGGCTCCAATGACTGTATCCGCACGAAAGGCAGAAGCGTTCTTAATAGGCAAGAAATTTACGCATCCTGCAACCCTTGAGGGTACCATGAGTGCATTAGAACAAGACTTTGATCTGCAGTACGGAGTACCCGGTGGTATGGCTAGCTATCGTCGGTCTCTTGCTCTAGGATTCTTCTACCGATTCTATCATGACGTCTTGTCGGGGGTTGAGTTGAACAGTACGGACATCGACCACGACGTGATTGCTGAGATTGAAAGGGCTATCTCTTCTGGGGAAAAGGATCATGAGGCTTCAGCGGCATATCAACAGCGGGTATTAGGGAAAGCAGGTCCCCATGTCTCCGCGTTGAAACAGGCCACTGGGGAAGCGCAGTACACGGATGATGTACCTGTTCTGAAAAACGAACTGTTTGGTTGCATGGTTCTTTCAACGAAACCACATGCCAAAATACTCAGTGTTGATCCCTCTGCTGCTTTTGATATCCCTGGCGTTTATGACTATGTGGATCACAGAGATCTCCCCAGTCCAGAGGCTAATTGGTGGGGTGCCCCTGTGACCGATGAGGTGTTCTTTGCGGTAGATAAGGTTACAACTGCTGGACAGCCCATTGGTATGATCCTCGCAAAGTCGGCCAAAATTGCCGAAGAGGCTTCGAGAGCTGTGAAGATCGAGTATGAGGAGCTGCCGGCTATCCTTACCATTGAAGAGGCCATCGAAGCCGAATCGTTCTTCGAACACAACCACTACATCAAAAAAGGCGACACAGAAGCGGCTTTCAGACATGCTGACCGCGTTATCACTGGCGTATCGAGGATGGGAGGCCAGGAGCATTTCTACCTGGAAACCCAAGCGTGCGTCGCCATTCCCAAACCTGAAGATGGGGAAATGGAGATTTGGAGTGGCACACAAAATCCCACTGAAACGTGAGTTCGGCATCGCAAAATTATAATGAGAAGCTAACCTTGCTATAGTCAAACATACGTCGCTCAGGTCACGGGGGTCGCAGCTAACAAGATAGTCTCAAGGGTTAAGCGACTAGGTGGTGGATTTGGTGGTAAGGAGACTCGATCCATTCAACTAGCTGGCTTATGTGCGACTGCTGCAGCAAAAACGAGGCGGCCCGTTCGCTGCATGCTGAACCGTGATGAGGATATCATAACTTCAGGTCAACGTCACCCATTCTACTGCCGTTGGAAGGTTGCCGTGACCAAGGAAGGGAAACTACTTGCCCTCGATGCTGATGTATATGGCAACGGTGGACATACACAAGATCTTTCTGCCGCAGTTGTGGACAGGTCCTTGTCACATATTGATGGAGTGTATAACATCCCGAATGTCCATGTCCGGGGTCGCATTTGCAAGACAAATACAGTCTCAAATTCCGCGTTCCGTGGCTTCGGTGGGCCACAGGGAATGTTCATAGCGGAAAGCTTCATGTCGGAGATCGCGGATCATCTGGACATCCCGGTTGAAAAGCTTAGGATGGACAATATGTATAAACCCGGGGATAAGACCCACTTCAACCAAGAGCTCAAAGACTGGCATGTCCCCTTGATGTACAATCAAGTCTTGGAGGAGAGCTCGTATATGGAACGTCGAAAAGCCGTGGAGGAGTACAATAAGAAGCACAAGTGGTCGAAACGTGGCATGGCTATCATTCCGACAAAATTCGGCATCTCCTTTACGGCCTTGTTCTTGAACCAAGCCGGGGCTCTCGTTCACATCTACCATGACGGTAGCGTTCTTGTCGCCCACGGTGGTGTCGAAATGGGCCAGGGGCTGCATACTAAGATGACTATGATTGCGGCAGAAGCACTAGGCGTTCCTCAGTCAGACGTGTTCATTTCCGAAACAGCCACAAACACAGTTGCAAATACCTCATCTACAGCTGCGTCGGCCAGTTCCGACCTCAATGGTTACGCTATCTTCAATGCCTGTGAGCAACTCAACGAGCGCCTTCGGCCTTATCGGGAAAAGATGCCAAATGCCCCAATGAAAGAACTCGCGCATGCAGCTTACTTTGATCGAGTCAATCTCTCCGCTCAGGGGTATTATCGTACTCCAGATATCGGCTATGTATGGGGCGAGAACACCGGCCAAATGTTTTTCTACTTCACACAGGGTGTGACAGCCGCCGAAGTTGAGATCGATACACTGACCGGTGATTGGACTCCGCTACGTGCAGACATCAAGATGGATGTCGGCCGCACCATCAATCCCTCTATTGACTACGGACAGATCGAGGGAGCCTTCATTCAGGGCCAAGGTCTCTTCACGACAGAGGAAAGCCTCTGGCATCGTGCCTCAGGCCAGATTGTCACCAAGGGACCCGGAAACTACAAGATCCCCGGGTTCCGAGACATTCCCCAGGTTTTCAACGTCAGCCTTCTTAAGGATGTTGAATGGGAAAATCTTCGTACAATCCAACGATCTCGTGGTGTCGGTGAACCACCACTGTTCATGGGAAGCGCCGTGTTCTTTGCTATCCGCGACGCTCTGAAAGCAGCCCGGAAGCAGTACAATGTTCACGAAGTTCTCAGTCTACGAAGTCCGGCCACCCCCGAGCGGATTCGGATCAGCTGCGCTGATCCCATTATCGAACGGGCAAGAGTCCTACCTAAGGAGGGAGAGAAGAGCTTCTTTGTTGAGATTTAAGTCAGCCCATGTTACTAACCATTTTATCCATCTGTATCGTTTGCCAGGAGATTCTACAGCGTCATGGTTTTATTATGACATTAGATTGAGAAACGTTTCTCTCACGAATGTATCCCCTGTTATATAGCATATCTAGGTCTACTACATCTATTCTATCTACAGAGCTTAGTATTCGTACAGCTACATGGCTCAGTATCATTTGACATGTGATATGTGATTTGTATTTGGTAATTGACGAGGTAGAAGACTGGGAAATTATGCCAAGTGCCTGCGCATCTATTTGGCCTTGGTAGAAAAAAAAATCAATATATCACGGCTTCGCTTGTGGACATACCCGTATATCCAACGCCGACTTGTATTCTATGTAACAGAATAAATAATCAAAAAATAAAAAAGAAAGACAAATTAGCTGGTAGAGCAATCGTGAATACCACGTGGATCAACGTTTCTCGATCCCATACTCAATATAGCTACTTCCACGCAGATCAGACGTCCCATCAACCTTGAGCGCTCTTTGACCAGCGTATCCCATCTTCTCATCTTCATAGAAATGACCGACAACGGGCGGGGTTTCCTGGGCGGGCTCATACCGAGGAGCAGGTTGCGAGGCGGCCTTTTCATTGGGAACAGCAGTCAATGGAACCTCGGTGAAGCCATTGAGATCTGGATTATTGTTTATGGGAACGCCACCACCTTCGCCGCGGTTCTTGTCCCGGCCCCAGAAAAGGATCAGGCGCGGATAAGGCCGAAAAGAAAATTGAGGAACCATATACCCAGTACGCAGGCCGATATGATGGTTTCTGTCCGGATGCCTTCTTTGATTTTGTTGATGACCCGCATGACAACCTCGGTGATCTTGTTGGACGTCTTGTCGCCTGGGTTCGCGAGGAAACTGTCGGATGCGCTTGTGCTGTTGTTGATGCTGCTGTCAGCACCCTTGGAAAGAATATCGTTGGGTACATGTGGGAAGTCAACGTGGGCATGGTCATGGACCCAGGTAAGGCCTTTTTGGACAGATGCCACCTTGAGACCGATCAAGCAATTGAAGACGTCCTGTAGTGGACTATACAGGATGGTGCCTCCGAACGTGTCGTTGAGGACTCCTGTTGTCTTGTCGACGAAGGCGTTCAAGGTATCGTTAACGGCTGTTGTGCTGGTGTTTACCCAGCCGAAAACGTTCTTGTTGATGTCATTGCTCATGCCATCGATGACTTTGTTGGTGTCGTTCGCCCACTTGGCAGATGTGTTTTGTAAAGAAGTGACCACTTTCTCGGCGAACTCACCGACTTCGCCAGTTAGTTCTGGTACTGTCCTCTCAACAGCTTTTAGCAGCAAGTACTGGCAAAGGCAAGCGAAGAGTCCGGCAAGGGCGAGGGACAGGACGAATAGAGCAGCCGGTGAGGTTGCGTACGCAATGACCCACCGCACCAAGATCTGTCTGCGGCTATTGCTAAACCTGCTTGCTGCTCTGATGCCTGCACCTGCCGTGTGAGGGCGGGAAACAATATATACAACATCCATCGGATCATGCGCATCCTTTCGCACGATCTGAGAGCGCTCCTTCATGGTGCGCCAACGACGTATCTCCTGCCAGGCTGCCGGGACACAAACAAGAGTTGCAGCGATGATTAGAACTGCAAGGAAGATCTTGCGAGCAGCTACGATGGTTTCGGCAACCTTCTTGAAGAATGTATTGATCCCGTTGTTTTCATCGCAGAAGGTCAGCTGCTCCTTCGCAGGAACAGGTAAGACTGAGCGGTCGAAGGTGTAATTACCCAATGACCCATTAATAAGACCCTTGACTTCCTCAAAGGGGAACTTCAAAACGTCTGTGACAAATTTGTCAACTTCATCAAACGTGGGAATGGAGCTGTTGATCTTATTGATAGTATCGTTGATTGATCCTGGGAGGTGGATGTCCTTCAACTCTTCGACGTTCTTCGAGATGTCAAGCTTCGGCACTTCCCCACCGAAAGCGCTCGCAACTTTGTTAATTCCGCTCAAGAATTTGTTAAGGCCAGATTCGAAAGTTTCGACTGCTTTGCCAATGTCTTCACCAACCGTTTGGACTGTTTTGTTCAAGAACTCGGTGGTATCTTGTATCACGCCGAGCGCAGCTTGAGTGCTACCTCTGACAACCATCGTGAATAGACAAAGGTATGTTTGGTACATAACTTTGATGAAAAAGATTATAAGCGCTTCGACTCCAGTGATCGTGAGCAGCAGCATGGATATGAGGCCTTTAATCGCTGCCTCAACACTAGAGGCTGTGAGCTCATTCACTCCCTGAGACAGATAATGGGGCATTGAAGCCATCGAACTCCCCATCGTCTCAACTGCTGTGCAGGCAGACTGGGCTTCGCGCTTCGCTACGTCCATGTCCGACTGCATCCCAGTCGCCGCTATCAAAACTCGGACCAGGACAAGGAGGAGCAAGATCGTCCAACGGTTGAGCCACACTTGTGATAAACGAGCTCGCAACCCTATATATGGTGTGATACCATCGGGGTGCAGCGGTACGGCACGTCCAGGACCGCCATTGGGATCATGCGCGCCATACGGCGGGAGTAGCGGGAAAATAGATCGTCCAGACCTCGAAAACACCATGTCGATGGGTTGGATGGGGTATAGAGGTGGGCTCTGAAAGGGACTGATACCTCCGAGATGGCACAGCGTGAGCAGTGGTGTTGAACGAATCCGTAGATGAAATTCTATTATTCAGAAACGAAAGGTAGTTGTATACCAAAGAGTAAGTGCCGGCCAGCAGCAACCTTTTTTTAATTTAACAGGGGACAAATTATTGGAGAGCCATAACACAAAGTCATATATACTGCTGACGTAGAAGAATGAATGTAGTGACAAGGGAAATGTGTTGGTGGTATGCATAGAATAGGACAATAGTTCAATATAATGGATCCAACAATCAAGAAGGGGCCCACCTTTTTATTATTCTTGAAAGGTCAAGCGATCGCCTGGGAACTTTGCGAAACCAGCAAAGCAAAAGAAAAAAAATTGAATTGACTGGGGGGGAGCCGTCTTTGGGCGTAAACAGACAGCGATGTCCACCCGGGGACGTGCTATATGGGCCACTCATAAGCCGTAGACACGAAAATAGAAGTCTACGGACACAAGGATTAGCTGAAGACTCTGCAGAAGTTTGTTTCACTTTGTGCATGATTAGTGGGCGGCTCTTCTCAGTGGTTTCTGCAGAGCGCTGTCAAGAACCAATATTAGTACACTCGAAGCCGGCGCTTAAGAAGCCCGGCATTGTCCACCAATCCTTTATCCTCAGCCAGTGGTTGCCAAACAATGCGAGATGTTTCTTCTAAGAAAATACTTAGTCTCGTCATTATGTGGAGCCATGGTCAGGCTTGAATAAAGACTTTATTTGTTGCCTCGAAGGCTTCAACATTTGCGACGTTTCTTGTTCCATCTCGCGCTGGGGTATCAAAGATCAGAGCGCGCATTAACATGTCAACTGGATGCAAATTAGCCGCCCTACATTTCTGAGTACTGCGATCTAGCATCCTAGATGAGAATCTAATTCTGGTAGTTGTTAAAAATAAAAGTGGGTGCAGTGGTAGGTCGTGTATGAAACCTTTAAGCAAGTGGGTGGGAAATAGATTTATATCTTGACTTCCACGTGATGGGCTCACTCAAGTACTATTATTTTATCGTAAGAGGCACAGGAGACATTGTAGGACTCTCGAGAATCTCAAATATGGATTAGACAAAGCGGTTTCAGAAATACCCTTGTATGATATGCCACAGCCACAGAACTCCACATAACATGGTCAGGGTTGAATAGTTCTCTATATATGTGAGATATGATTGCTCTAGCAAAGGGACAACCAGCCCATACAACATTTACGATTGTGTACTACCGCTTTCTAAGATGCCTCTGTTCTATATGGTACTTATATCTATATTCATGTGTATTTTTGTATTTTGTATCTTGTATTTTTTTTTACTCTGTTTTGGGAGAGTAGTATGGCACCCTCCACTCTGATACGCAACGTACTCTCCACTGGCCAATATGTGCAAAAGAGTCAGTGCACGGGGATACTATAGCAATAGTATGTGCAGTCTATCTAGATCATACCACACTTACCTTTCTTGCTATTATTATTGGAATAAATGTAACTCGGTTGAGGAGTGCAGCATACAGACTCTTCCGGAACCTGTTGTCCAACAAGGTTAACATAGACACTGTTTACGGCTCGGCGACACGAGTAAAAGAAATCATTTCTATCCTGAAATAATGTATAGGAAATACATATTGAAACAACTATCTCAAGGAGATGTGAAAATCTACCATTGGGGCAATTATGATCTCCATCAGGCTCTGGGCCGTATGAAAAAGGCCATAGAATGCTTCTTTAATTTACAGTTGATCTCAACCCTGAAAAGATATTCAATCATCTCTCTTTGGAGTTGTATATCACCTACAATCTCTTGTAAACGAATTCGATTGTCCTTTTCTCTTTTTTTGAACCTCTATTTGAGGAGGCATAAAAGGCTCATCCAAATGGAATCACCCCCAGGGTCTTCAGATAGGGTTGCTTACCCAGGCAACAAGGCAGAAAATAGAGACCAAGGACAACCTCTAGAACAGAAGTCACTGTCAGGAAACAAAGACTCAATAGAAGATGCAATCACTTCATATGGGCTTAAGGTAAAGACAGGTCTTCAATTGGACCAAGTGAGACTCAGTGATAGATATGTGCTGGAAGTGCAGCAAGTGCAGCAACTGAATAAGGCGTCTGACTTCACTGTCACGGATCGTGACAAGAACGTGACAACAAACACAAGTCAGGAATCTACCGAGATGAGTACTTCTACGAAAGACGAAATGGTTCTTTGTTCTGGTCAGTTGATTTACTGTAACTTTACTTTTCCTTATCTTGTTGCAACCTCTCTGGCTCTCTGTTGTACAGGAGTGTTAACCAGAAGTCTACAAAATAGAAGAAACCCAAAAACAAGCTCTTGAGAAGAAGAAGCTCCGCACAGAAGCCATTGCTTTCATCTGTTCTCAGACGCAGGCTCGCCTGGCCCGGTTTGGGGCATTGTCTGAGGAGATTTCATTATGCCGAACAAGTGAGCAATATCACTGTTACCCCAACGATAGTAAAAGCTTGTCTATTCCCAACCAGGTCCCTACCGAGCTGAGCATTACATCTACCGTCACGATGGAGCCAGTCCAGGCATCTAAAAAGAAGAAAAAGAAGAAGAGCAAGAAGAAGCCTAAGAAGCGAGTGCCCCTTGATATTGGAAGCATTGACTCCCTCAACATGAGAAAGTTGAACCAGGCCAGTCTAAGTGCGCGTGTGCCAAGCGTGCAGTCCTCAAGTGAGGAGGCACCCTCAAGTGATGGCCCGTCTTGTTTGACTCAAAGCCAGGATCTGTCGGAGTCCAGCCCATCCTTGTACTTACAGGAATCTAATCTCAAGACTAAGCATATGATCTCTGCTGACCTGGGGAAGGACTTTGCAGCCCCTTGTGCGACTCAATATAAAAACAGATTGCAAGTCGAAGGCAAGGATACGACTGAATGCCACGAGGGTTGCTCGATGGAGTGTGTATTGAGTACTGGTCCTCGTGAGCAGACCTACCGGGATGCACTTCTGGGTACAATGGATCACAGAGATAAAAGGCGAGTCTCAGGTACAGATCCGACCACAAAAGATGACATAGCAGAGCACAACGCTGCGCTCCATGCAATTCCAACCCCGCTTGCAATCGAAGAGTGGCCCAGTATCACTGGACAGACGCCAGCTGGGAGAGATACACGTGATACAAGCCCAAAGGCTGCTTCTTCGATCGATTCAGTCCAAGACGAGGAGGTATCAAACACCGGATCTTCCACACGTGCGCAGCCATCGCGCCTTGGTCACTCTACATGCAAGAATAAGGCTTCTTCAAGGGAAAGACTGCCTCCTATACAAGAAGCGACAAGTGAGACGGCCCAGGGTTATCCACGTGTAAAACCGCTTTCTCCTCATGCTGAGCGAGGTAGTATATCTAGCGAGGTTCAGAGTCACCTTACATGTACACCGAAGTCCTCAAAATCTACCTCCACAGGTTGGACTAGCGCCGAACCTCAGGGCACGCCACAGACCGAATCCTCGGAGATTGACAATACAGAAACCAAGAACGACCACCAGAAGATTTCCACCGAGACCAGAACTGTTGTGATCTCCCAAACGAAGGGCAGCCATGCACATCCCTCATCATCTCTGAGCCTTGAGAGACCAGGCCAATGTGCCACAGCTGCACAAAAGTACATATCGACCCAAAAACCAGAAGGATTTTTCTGGCAGCTCGATAGCCACGGATTCCCTTGCGCGAAGGCAGAATGTGAGAAGCGCTGTAATTTATGGGATGGCGCAACTGTCATCTGCCCCCGATGCGGACCATTCTCAGAAATTCGTTATTGTTGCAAAGAGCACCTACTGGAAGACATCAAGTACCATTGGCTGTACTGCGGACAGATGACCTTTGAGCATCCTTGCCGAGAGAATTCGATCCCCCGGGATGTGAGAGACGGACCACTTCTGGTTCCTTGTCTTCACCCTTATGACACACCCGAACGTCATCGCCAGGCCGTTTATTTCAATGCAAAGGTTCGTGAGGGGGACTATTTTATCTTCTCGGACTGGACCGATCTGGTGAAAGCCGGCTTCCCCGAGAACAACGTTGAGGTGCGGTGTTCAAGTCGTGTCGTCTATACCATTAGGTTCGAAGACGCAAGTGAGAAAGACCGGTTTCGTCGTGTTCTAGCGACATGTCTCTTCAGTACGTCGACTTCCTTGATATACAATTTATACTTACTAATGACCCATTTCCTTGTAGTGACCATCGAAGTTACCGAACTTGTGGATTATCTATTCCGGCTAATTCGAGACAAACTCCGATCACTGGCTGCTCCCATAGAGCTTGAAGCCACGCTCAAGTATCAATTCCAACAAGAATTCTGCGTGACCCTACAGCCACATATCACCGGAGAGAGACATGCCTGTGTGACCGACTGGGATGGAAGGAACCGTCGTAATTGTCAGGATGCTATCTGCCGAGCTGAATACCGTCGTTTGCTTGGATCCCTTGGGGGAAAGGGTCATTGTCAACTCATTGATCACTTGGAAGGCAGCTACTGGATTCTTCGAGCGGTGAGAACCACCCATCCTGGCGTAAGTGACGCCAAAGCGCGTATGTGTGGAGAGGGTTTCAGCGACGTCGCGGATGAAGATAGAAGAGAGTTCCGCCGGGGTGCAGGATGGGATGGCGCAGGGACTGGCGACATGGAGATTGAGGGAATCAATGATGATTGACTAGTTCTTCATTTGATCCAGCGAAAGGGTTTGGACCGCACCGCCGTAGTCTAGAGGCTGGAACTCAAGACGCAGCTGCAATAGTCGACACTAGTTTTTTGGTGATGCCTTTCATCCTTCCAGGGTCGATCTTTTATTGATCATGCATTAGAAGTTTCAAGGAACAACTAATATTCTGGAAGTCGAGGAAGTGGTCGGAAGAGAGATTTCAGGAACTGCTCGATGCAGGTCGTTGAAGCTCAAACCTTGGACTGTCAAAGGGCCAATGCCATCACAACAACGGTAAAAGCCCCCTCAGAAAAAGAAAAAGAGAAATGAAAAAAAAACAGAAATGAAAAGAAATGAAAGTAAAAGAAAAGAGCTACTGTGGCCACCTCGGCCAGAGTTCTGTTAAATCTTTCTATGTAATCTAAACCCATAAGTCTAGCAGGGATAGCTCATGCCATTGCGGTTCTCTTTTCTACACCACCAAAAAAGCTTTTGCACTAAGCATAACTTCACTGTACAATATACTTCTTCAAGCCGCGCAGTCTCTCCTTGGCGGTCTCCAAAACATCATCATTTTTGCATACAGCAAACCGGAGATAATCCTCCGCAATATGGGCATTGGCGTCAGTGTAGAACTCGGTTGGAGGAATGGCCGCAACGCCAACCTCATGGATGAGGAACCAGCAAAGCTTGAAGTCGCGGGGACGGCTTGCGACATGAGGAGGGAAAGGGTAATCTTCCGGTAGCTTCACTGAAGACATGTTTGCGAGAACAAAGTAGCCACCCTCAGGGTCAGAGTACTAGTGACATTTGTTAGAGGTCATTCAAAACAGCTTGGGCTCGAAGATGTCATCTCGTGAGAATATACCGGAATGTTAAGCTCGTCAAATATCTCACAGAAGCGCTCCATCTTCTTCTTCATTTCGGTGCGACTCTCATCCCAGAAGCCAGCCTTATCGGCTTGCTCAAAAGCAACAGCTGCAGCTTCCTGGAGGGGAGACACGCTACTGTAGCAGATTCGAGTGTGTGCACCAGCCACGTACTTGATCAGATGCTCAGGGCCAATGAGGTAACCAACCCGCCAGCCAGTAGCGTAGAAGGCCTTACCAGCCGAGCCCACGGTGAGAGTGCGCTCGTAGAGCTCAGGCGATAGCGTAGCGATCCTAGTAAAGGGAACATAGTAGAGACGGTCGTAGACTCGTCAGAAAGGATGATGAGATTGTGCTTGATGCAGAGCTCGCCGATTTTCTCAAGTTCATCACGAGAGAAGACCTTTCCTACAGGGTTGTGGCTATTGTGGTGATTAGTATTTCGCTAAGGCGTGGTCACTGGGGCAAGTAATGCTCACGGCGAGTTCAAAACCTAAGGAGTCAGATGAGATGTACCGAGGAGGAGATAAGGGAAGCTCGCTTACAATCATTCTAGTCTTGGGATTAATAGTCTTCTCCAACTCTTCAAAGTCTATAGACCATTCCGAAGCTGGGGAGGTCCTTGTAGCTCCATCCTTGGGAGGGTGAAGGGGGACATATCGAATGGTACCACCGGGCATCTCGATGTTGCTGATGTATCTGTTCTTGGGTGTCAGACATAGGCAAGTTGTTGCGCCGTAGTCTACTCACTGGTCAAAGAAAGGTTCGAAGATTATAACCTCATCGCCAGGTTCAATGAATCCCATAAAAGCACTTAGCATTCCTTTGAATTGTTAGCCAGATAAATTCAAGCTGTCCCATACCATGATAGGCTATTATTACCTTCATTTGCACCTGTGGTGATCGTAACTTCGGTATCCGGGTTGAGCTTTCGGCCGAAGGATGGAGAATATGCATCCGCAATAGCTTGCTTGAGGCGAGGACGACCCTGTACCGAAATGAGCCGGTGTTCGGGTGCATCACCCTTCGATCATTATCGTACCTTGGTCGGGGAGTACTGGTTACATTCAACTTTGTCGAGAGCCTCCTTTGCGGCATCAATTGCAAACTGAGGAGGATTATAGCCACTGAGAGAGGGTATGTAATCAGCAGGTCAGGTCACTGCCTGGGTCCAAATACCACACTTACAAGAATCCCTGCCCCATATTCACAATAGGCTGAACGGGGGAAGCCGCAGCGGCTTCATTGACGATTGACCTGGAAGTCAATTAGACCGACGATCCAGCAACAGTTCTGTTCCAACGATTATTCCCATACCAAACATCCTGTCTTTGGCCAGCGACCCGTTTGGCCGGGCGAAAAGGGTCAGCACGAGAGGTGGTCGCGGACATTGCTCTGGCGCGGGGATCGAGAAAGCGGGGTGACGTATGTCTCGAGAACAAGGGCTGTTGTGCTGGAGTCTTGAACCTCGCGATTGCGGTAGAGATGGAAGTCCGGTGGCCCAAAAACATAGGTGAAGAGAGGATCGAGGGTGATCAGGTGCGGGGAGAAAGTAATTTAATTTGATGATCCGTCGCAATTGCAGGACTGGACTGTAGTAAGATGATAGGGTGCCTGAGGCTGCTGTTCCTAAACGGTGTAGGGCGCAAATGGCGTGCTTGGGCGTATGCATACGTAGCAAATGCCGGCATGGATGTCCCTCGATTACTCATTGACACGAAACCCCACCCAAATCAATTAATGGTCGAATCGGGAAACGCGTGAGATCACGCGTCTGGCCATTGTTTGAATTGACGGTTTGACGGATTATGATCGAATTGCTCTGACCCCCAACAACCCGATTCCCCATCTCCCTCGATGATCCAAGCACTATGGTGTCTTGTCCGATATGCGGGAACTCTGTATCATCTCTGAAAATCAACGACCATATTGATTCCAATTGTCAAAACTTTATTGATGAGCCAACATCCAGCACTGGGGACCTGGCTTCCTCGCAGAAGGCAGAGGTCCCCAGCTTTTTCCAGCCTACCTCGGCGCGGAAAACATCCGCTCAGCCCAACTCGCACCCCGACTCCTCGCCTTCGCAGAATGGTACTCGCAAGAGACCCTCGGCGCCTGAAGCGGAAATAATAACCGATGGCAGCAAGAAGACGAGAAACGATGCGGAGCAATATGTGAAGAGGCCAAGAGTGAGCGCATTGCAGAAGGCAGCGCCGTTAGCAGAGCGCATGCGACCTCGGACTCTCGATGATGTCTGCGGTCAAGACCTCGTTGGCCCTCACGGCGTTCTTCGCGGGCTCATTGAACACGACCGAGTCCCAAGTATGATATTGTGGGGTGGTCCCGGAACTGGTAAAACAACAATCGCGAGGGTTATCGCTTCAATGGTTGGGAGCAGGTTTGTGGAAATCAACAGTACCAGCACTGGGGTTGCAGAGTGCAAGAAGATATTCTCTGACGCCAAGAGCGAGCTTAACCTTACGGGAAGAAAGACCATAATCTTCTGTGACGAAATCCACCGCTTCTCGAAATCACAACAAGATGTCTTCTTGGGGCCTGTAGAAAGTGGGCAAGTTACTCTTATCGGTGCTACAACCGAAAATCCCTCCTTTAAAGTCCAGAATGCGCTGCTCTCCAGATGTAGGACTTTCACCCTGGCAAAGCTTACTGATCAAGATGTCAAATCTATATTGGACCGAGCTTTACGGGTGGAGGGGCCAAACTACTCGCCTTCTGCTCTGGTAGATGACGAGTTGATTAACTACCTGGCAAAGTTTTCGGACGGGGATGCCCGGACCTCCCTGAATCTCCTGGAGCTCGCTATGGATTTATCAAAGCGCCCGGGGATCACTAAGGAAGAGTTAAAACGGTCTCTGACTAAAACTCTTGTCTACGATCGTGCGGGTGACCAACATTATGATACTATCTCCGCCTTCCACAAGTCCCTCCGGGGCAGCGATCCGGATGCTGCCCTGTATTATCTCGCCCGCATGATCCAGTCGGGTGAAGACCCACTGTACATTGCTCGCCGTCTGATCGTAGTGGCATCGGAAGACATTGGCCTGGCAGATAACAGTATGCTCACTCTGGCTATTTCTACCCATTCGGCCGTGGAGAAAGTCGGGCTCCCAGAGGCGCGGATCAACCTCGCACATGCGACCGTAGCTATGGCGTTATCCAAAAAGAGTACCCGGTCATACAGAGGTCTCAACAACGCGTTCGCGGCATTGGCAGAACCAGGCATTGCCGGGCTACCGATTCCAATTCATCTGCGGAATGCCCCCACTCGATTGATGAAGGAACTAGGATATGGGAAGGAGTACAAGTACAACCCGAACTATTTGAATGGCGAGGTAGCACAGGAATACTTGCCCGAGAGACTTCAAGGCCGGAAATTCCTTGAGGATCTCGATCTTGGTCGTCAGGTTGACCCAGACCTCAATGGTCAGCGTTGAGAAAAACGCCTTTATGGACTAAAGCGTTTAACTTGTCCTCCAAGCTCACGTATTATGCACATGAGTGTGGCAGCTGAGCATTCTCAGCTGTGGGAATTGGTGTTGGGAACTGAGACCCGTTCAACCCTGATGAGCCAGATGCCGAGATGGGCTATGAAACTACAAAGCCGCTCGAATCGCAGCTTCAACTGCCCAAAGGATGAGTCCCCTATGGCAGTCACTGGAAGGGCTGGAAATTCAATCAATGGTACGCCCATTGACAGTCAAGCGACTGAATGATTATGGCGAACCCGACGCTGACAAAACAACAAACTTGACCAACACTTTGCTAAAGAATATGAGCGTACTTTCGGTCCGCGATTTGACAGTGAAGATATGGTATACTGCCATTTCTCCAGGAGTTTTCGGTTTTTTTTTTTTCTACCTTGGTCTTTTGGGACTCGCAGGCGGCAACGGGCATGGTTCTAGTGCGGGCTAACTAATAAAGATAACCAACCATAAGATGTAAAGTGTGGATTGTAGATACAGTCTTATACTCATATGTAAAGAAATCTACTCTGTGCAAGAAGTGAATGAGTTGGTATGAAATTCCGCTGTGACTGTAAACAAAAGAGGCTACTGCTTTGATGAATGAATTTACTCCGCGTCACCTTAACTTGGTCGCGTCTCCGCAGCCCGACAACCTGACAGGCAATCAATCCTTCCAACCCATCCCCACAACAACCACACGGCTCAGAACAATTCTCCGACCCAATTTACCGTAACCAAAACCCTTTCTCTTATTTTACGGAATATCTGCCTCTTCTGACAAATTGATCACGTCCCGGTGCTTTTCACCGGCGATCACGCACCGCGGGATCTCATAAACACCAACCACGACAACAACCACCATGGCGTCGCAAGGGTTTGGCTCGCGCTCATTCGCCTCGACCAGGCTACCTGACCGGTCTATGAACGCCAATCCGACTCCCTTCGCCGCGTCTACCTTCTCCCGCCAACGACTAGGAGCTCCAGGATCCGGTGACCAAGGAGCCGACGCAGCGAGATCCTCGCAACAGGCGCCACAGCCACCAGGGCATTCACAGACCCACGGCCCATCACAGGACTCGAATCCCCTGAGTCGATTAACAGAGGAACAACGGGAAGAGATCAATGAAGCTGTAGGACCCCCTTATTGCACTCCCGTTAAAAAAAAGGCGGAAAGGCCAGCTAGAAAGCTAACATCAACACCCTTCTTCTCAAACCAACAGTTCACCCTCTTTGATCTCGACCGCGACCAACATCTAGACTACCATGAGCTCCGCGTCGCTTTCCGCGCTCTCGGCTTTACTCTCCCCAAGCAAGAACTCATCTCCCTTCTCACCACCTACGGCGTACCCCGTCCCCAAGTCCAGCAGCAATCCTCAGCCCAACAACAACAACAGGCTAAGACCGCTCCCGCCACGAATCCCCAGCACCCGTCCAACCTGCTCATGCCCCTCTCTGCCTTCCAGGCCGTGACGGCGCTGAAGATCCTAGAGCGCGACCCCCGGGATGAGATTCTGCGAGCGTTCGAGCTCTTTGACGAGGGCGGCAAGGGGTACATCGATCTGGAGGATCTGAGACGGGTTGCGCGGGAGTTAGGTGAGACAGGACTCGAAGAGGAGGAACTGAGGGCTATGATTGAGGAGTTTGATCTGGAGGGCGTGGGTGGTGTCACCCGGGAGGCGTTTGTGAGTATATGTTGGCAGTGATTACCTTTGTGTGTCCTCCTTTCTTTCGCTTTTCCCTCTCTCTCTCTCTCTTTTTGTTTACGGTGAAAATTGGTTTGGTTGTGTAATGTCCTCTGTTGCGAGATTTATCATATTTGTTGGACTTGGCTTTGTGGCTCGATCCTGGGGATTGATTAAAAACCTTTTATGTTGTGTACAGGCAATTACTTCTTATGCCCTGAGAGTGATTGGATTGTGTGAACAGATGGTATCATTCTGTGACTTGATTCTTCTGCATTGTCTGTTTTCCTTTTTGTTTTCTTTTTCTTGGCAGCATTTCGAATTTGTTGGATGTTTCCCTTGGGCATTGGATGGGCGCCTTATCGGTTGTGGGATTTTCCCCCTTTGGATGAATTATATACTAGTCCATTGCGTCTTGATTTACTGCGTGTTGGTATGGGACATTGTAATTGAGAAATCGGTGCTATTATAGACGTACGTCTGCAATTATGCATTTGCTCGGTCTTCTACGGGCGGTCCATAAACGGGACAGCAATCAATATTTACTAGGTATCGCACTCCGAACACCCGAGGGAGCGCGCGTCTCAATTATACAAGGGCACTATTTATCAACCAGCTCGAGAACAAACATGACTAGGAAAGAGCACCAAAAAGCCCAAGGCCACGAAGACCGAGAGAAGTAGGGGTCGGGAAGATAGGTATAGAGCAAACAAGACATGTCACCAAGTCTTCCATGCAAGTGCCACATATTACTATACTTGCGCCGGAGCTAAAAGAGAACTGAAAGAAAGAAAGAATACCACCAGTATGCAATGTGCGCAGATTCGTCATGAGAATTCGTGTCAGATGAAGTGTAAAATGTATATATAGCAACAGATAATTAAGCATATCGAGGTGCTTGGTTACCATACGCTGGGGGCGGATATGGCGGCGGAGGGTCTGCAAGCCCCTGATATCCGCGCGGCGGCCCATTCGACCACTGATTCATAGGGATCGGTTGCTGCATAGGGCGAGCCCAAGGTCCATATGAACCGGCAGGCGGTGGCATGGGCTTTGCACTCGGTCGTGCCCGACGACAACGGTTGATCAAGCACCACAGAATGGACAGAACAATCAGCCCCCCAACACCACACGCAATGCCGATGACTAGGTTCTTGTGGTCATCAATCCAGCCTTTGACACTAGAGCCATCGCATTTTCCGTTCTTGCAATGGCCACCACCACTACAAGGGGTGCCGTCCAAGAAGTTCTGGTTGACCCCGTAGCATTGACCAAATGTGTTAGAGGAGCAGACTACTTCACAAGACGAGCCATATGCAGAACAAGCATACGTTTCGTTGCTATGCAGCAAGCTACCCATGACGGACCGACACTGGTAATCTCGACTAGTACACTGTCCGCTGGCGCAAGTCAGGCCGGCTGAGGAATCACCACATTTCGTTCCATCTTTCTTGAAGGAGTCAGAAGGGCAAGTACTCGACGAGCCGCTGCACGTTTCTTCCTCGTCGCATTCGCCACGGCTGGCTCGACAGACAGTTCCAGCAGAAGAGAATTGGCATTTCGAGCAGCAGCTATCATTGGCGTCATCGCAAACCGCGCCGCTCTTGAACTTACACGTTTTGGCATCACAGCAACTGTTTTCTCCACAGGACTCTTCTCCGCCACAATCACAGTCTTCGCCCGACTCAACAATGCCATTACCACATTGATGGCCAGTATAGGTGGTGACCCCTCTGTTGTCGGAAAGGCAACTGGACTTGACGCTGTTGCGACCCAGGGCCGAGCAAATGTTCCCGATTGTACACTTGGAAAACTCGGTGATATCTGTGCCCGTAGTGGGGTTCATAATATACTGCCCCTTTGCATCACAGGAGGATGCAGTTAAAGGACAGCATTGCGATGATGCCTCAAGATTTTGCCCACATGTCTGGGTATCACAATCATGAACCGCTCCGAACGTGTGGCCCGACTCATGCGCAAAGATCTGCCATCCACCACCGGAGGAGCGGACGACGACGTTGGTGCCACTGACTGCGTTCGCAGCATCTGATACAACGTCTGCATTACACAACTGCCCAAGCCATGCCAACCCAACCTCGCTGCCTGTGGGGCAGTTGCTCATCAGGGTCCAATAAGCATTGGTATCTTTTTGCTGCCCACGCCACTTGGAAAACTTATCCAGTCGAGATGAGATATTCCCCTCGGAACATGGCATGTTCCACTCTGCTGAAGCGGGCGGAGTTTGTGGGCAATCCTTTTCGGTGATGGTTAGATTGCGTAGGCCGATGGAGATATTGAAGGACTTTTCATAGATGTTCGATGCGCTGTTGACAGTATTTATGATCCATTTTTGGGCGGCTTCTTTGTCATCAAACGAGCCGGTGAAGCCACAGTCCGTAGCGATACCGATCAACGCGACTTTCTTGGTGTCGGGGCAACCAGACGTATCACCAATGGTCGACTTCAAGCTCACACCACCACTGTTACCCGAGACACCCCCAGTGTCAGATTGCCGCTTGGTGAGTCCGAACAGTGAATTGAGAGACATAGCACCCCATTGACTCATGTCCTCCTCGAATTGGAGAATCGGGTGACTTGGGTCGGCGTTGAAGCTGAGTTTGTCGGCTTGGCACGACGAGGAGACGGGGAATGAGCGCTTCAAGTCGGTGTGCAGTTCCCGGATCATATCAGAGTCCCGATAGAAGACCATGTATTCACCTTTCCGGTCTGGGATGTCCACATCTTGCTGACGTTTATTTTGCAGGTATGTTGATTTCAACTCGACATGATGTTTATCGTCGTGGACGCTGAAAACTCCTTCAAATAGAGGTTGCGATCCGTCATTCTTCAGGTAAATCCGGGCCCATCCTACAGGATCCCACATGCCTTTCCCTCTCCCAACCAACGCACGGCCTTTGAAGACCTTGTGTTCATGTCGCTCGATGGGCTCTTCACGTTGAATGTTTCCATGGCGATCCAAATACTGCACATATGCGTCTTCGGCCAGGATATCATGGTTCGGTTCTAATTCTAGTTTTATTCGTTGATTTTTGTCACGCAGGTTGAAAGTGACATCGAAATGAGAAAGGTGATCGACTTGATGGGAGGAGGTATGAATTCTAGGATGATCTAGAGTCGATATACGCTGAATAGCATTTGGCTCCTGCGACCGAGCTGTTCAATATTTCAAGGTTAGGAACTGGTAAACGCTGAGTAGTTCGGGAAGGAAAATTTATGCAAACCGACCTTCTACATGAGCTGCAAGGAGTGAGATTGCACTGGTAGCAAACCAAAACGATTGTTTGAACAACCTCATGACCGCTGCTGGTGGCTAACGCCCAGGGTGTTAATCGATTCCGACCGACAGATGGGCAGTAAGACAATGGAGTGGGCGGAAAAGTCTAGAGGTCCCCTTGGCCGAGCAACAGCATCAGGCAACAACAATAGAAGCGATGCCGCCGTTTCAAACCAACTGACCAAGTTCGATGTAATAAACGGTAACTTGGTTGATTCTGGTCGACAGTTGCTCTCCCGCAGCTCCCAGTCAACGGTATAAGCACGCAATATGCAAGTGAACGATAGGGGGATCCTTCCAGGCAGCGAGCAATCGGTCAACTAGAGACGCCACGGCGATACGCTTGGCTGGGGCGCAGCAGTCTTGGCGGATGCGACGATGTGTTGCTGGAGTGAGCGAGATCAACAAATCGAACGAGCGTGATGAGGTAGACGGAATCGGAAATGGAGAGGGGATATCTCCAGGGTATGGAGGGAGGAATAGAGAACGAATGGGGGGAGGGGAAGGAGGTTGTCGTGGAGATCAACCAGCGAAAGATGAGATGGGATTCGGATGTCGGATGTCAACACGATGCGGGAGGAATGAAAGAAAATCGGGGTTCAACAAACTAGTCTGAGAGTGGGTTAGGAATGGTCCCTTAGGCGGATTAGTGAGCGGATCAATTGGCTGTCCACAGCCTCAGGGTTGGGATCGGCGGGGAACTGGCGCGTTACCTGTGGCTGGAACTTTTAGTGCTGACAGTATATAAGGCGATATTAATGTTGTCGGGAGGGACAGAGGAAATGAAGACAGTTTCAAGACAGAGTCTTCCCCAATCGTACAAGAGTCGTACCTCCAAATGCTCCAGGGCTGTCGCGGAGAGATTCCCACCAAGGGACAATTAGTAGTGGATCTGAGACGACAAACAATTTGCTAGGATCATGTGTTCAGGGTCTAAGCTCTAAAAGGACCAGCGCAGGGTAGCCCTAGGATCCCTTATTGCCTAGGCATCCAGGTTTCAGCCAAAAGATAGAGAAACAGAAACAGAGGGGGAAAAAGTAAAACTAAAA